TTTTGTATTTGTAAGCGCACTGAGTGAAAGTGTGAATGAGCATGAGCGGGATACTTTTGATTTATATTCTTTTCGATACTAGTCGATTTCCTACATTGTACCTGCAAAAATAGAATAAAATGCGTTATAATAAAAAGTTAATCACAATTTATAATAATATACTTACCTGCCATGATAATTAACACATTCCGCAGTAAAAGAGTCACAGGAACCTGAAACATAAAGAAAAAGCATTAACAATCAGTTTGAGTCACAAATTTCGAGTTAAATACTCACCTTTTAAGTTTTACCACAAGTAGAAGCAACGGGTTACCTGAAAGTAAAATATTAACATTAGTTAATCACAAATAACGTGATAAAAGTTGACCTTACAAGGAAAGGGACCCAAGTGTCCGCCTCCGATTTCGATGAGCTTTTGATATGTTATTCCCTAGACAAAACCAAAAATTAAGCTACCGCAAATTCGTGCCGCTTCGCGCTTTTAAGGAGTGAAACACCCCTTAGAAAAAAATCGGTTTTTTTATTTCAATGCAAATATCGTCGAAACTAGGAGAGATAGAAAAAAATGTTACGAATAAAAGTTAAATGGCTTTAAAAGTATTTTATAATTATAATTAAAAATAATTTTTTTATTGCTTAATTTTTTGTTTATCCCCTTCAACAGACATTTTTTTTTAATTTTTTGAATTATTTTTTTTTATCAAATTAAAGGTTAATTTAATACAAATTCAACCATGTGTGACAAAGTTGTTTTCCGAAGTATCATTTTCGAGAAATAATTATAAACGCCTCTATACGCACACCATCCGTGCTCGTTTACGCGGCGCGCACGCAATTCTTCACGCAGCACGTTCTATTCGCATTTTTGCATTTAACAAGGGATAACGATGAAAGCAAATCTATTTTCGCAATATTCTGCGGATGTATAACTATGAATTGTTTATCTCGCGTACGGCTAAACAACGCTTACGAAGCAAAGTTTGAATGTCGTGGGGTCAAGTCAAATCGGTGTAAATAACTTATTGCGGAAACAGTCTGTTTACGTCTAATCACAGAAATATTTTCGTTCGAGTAGTTACCCTGTTAAAAAAAATCGATAGAAAACGATAAGAACTGATATAGGATTTGACAAATATTTTATCGTGTCTCATCGTATATATCGTTCCACTTTCTCTGTTCCGAAAGAAATTGTTATCGTTTCCTATTGTTTTCTATCATTAGCTGATAAAAATAATTTTAATCGTTAAAATATCGATAGAATATCTACAGTAACTTATCGTTTTGATAAAATTTATCATAAATAATTAAAACGTTATCCTAATGAATTGTTTATACATGATAATCTTTTTATCGTTCATAACTACGATTAAAAACGATGTTTTTGAACGATGATTAAAAATGATGATTAAAGATAGAGGTAAATATGCTTGAATTTTAAATACTGAAATAAATAATGAAATAAAAATATACGAAATTTGTAATTATTATAACATTTAATTTTAA